TTGACTATGCAAAGGCTTTCAGTTGTGTGGATCATGACAAGCTATGGACAACAATGCAAAGTGTGAGTATTCTGGAACACTTAATTGTGCTCATGAGGAATCTGTACCTGAACCAAGAAAAAGTTGTTCAAACAGAACATGAAAACACTGAATGGTTTAAAATTAAGAAAGGTGTGTGACAGGGTTGTATTCTTTCACCATACTTATTCAACCTGTATACTGAGCAAATCATACAAGAAGCTGAGTTATATGAAGAAAAACACGGCATCAGGATTGGAGGAAGACTCATTAACAACCCGTGATATGCAGATGATACAACCTTGCTTAAAGTGAAGAAGTGAAGAAGACTTAAAACATTTACTGATGAAGATCAAAGACCACAGCCTTCGGTATGGATTGCATCTCAATGTATAGAAAACAAAAATCCTCACCACTGGACCAATAAACAACATTCTTATCAACAGAGAAAAGATTGAAGTTGCCAAGGACTTTATTCTTCTTAGATCAACTATCAACACTCATGGAAGCAGCAGTCAAGAAATCAAACAACGTATTACATTAGGAAAATCTGCTGCACAAGACTTTTTTAAAGTGTTGAAGAGCAAAGATGTCAGCTTGAGGACTAAGGTGAGCCTGACCCAAGCCATGGTATTTTCAATAACCTCACATGCATGCAAAAGCTGGAGAGTGAATAAGGAAGACCATAGAAGGATTGATTCATTTGAGTTATGGTATTGGAGGAGAATACTGAAAGTGCCATGGGCTGCCAAAAACACCAACAGTTCTGTGTTAGAAGAAGTGCAGCCAGAGTGCTTCTTGGAGGCCAGGATGGCCAAACTTCATCTCTCATACTTCGGACATATTGTCAGGAGGAACCAGTCACTGGAGAAGGCTATCATGTTTGGTAAGGTAGAGGGTCAGAGAAAAAGAGGAAGACCCCCAACAAGATGGATTGGCTAAGTGTGCATCATCGATGGACTCAAGCGTGGCAACAATAGTGAGGTTGGTCCAGGATCAGGCAGTGTTTCATTCTGCTATGCATAAGGTCTCTATGAGTCAGTAGGGACTTGATGGTACTAACAACAACAACAACACTTCTGGTGGTCTGTAAAATGGTGCACCCTTTGTGGAAAACAGTATGGTGCTTCCTTAAAATGTTGGCACTAGAAATACCAAGTGACCCAACAATTCTTTCACTAGGTATATACCCTGAAGAAATAAGAACCACTCTGGTAGCGTAGTGGTTACACACCTGGCTACAAACTGCAAGGTCAGCAGTTCGAAACTACCAGCTGCGCCACGGGAGAAAGATGAAGCATTCTGCTCCTGTAAAGATTAACAGCCTCGGAAACCCTGTGCAGGGTCGCTATGAGTCGGAACCGACTCCATGGCACATAACAACAACAACAACATACATAGACCAAGAGGCAATTGTTCAAACAGAAGAAAGGGGATGCTGTGTGGTTTAAAATCAGGAAAGTTGTGCATCAGGGTTGTATCCTTTTACCATA